CTACACCACTCCCCACCCAGACCTGAGGATGGAATCCAGGATTCCTGAGCTCCAATCTTCTACTGCTGTCTTGTGTAACCCACTGGAAAGGGGTGTGTCACATCCCTCACTAGTGGCTGGTCCACACAGGGAAGAACAATTTCTCCTGGAGACCCAGTGTTGAGATCTGTGGTGGGGATCTGAACGTTCAGGGTCTAACACCTGATGAGCCGTGTGCACAGTTCCTTAGATGGCTGCATGGGATAACATTTGTTTTCTAGTTTCCTTGGTTTTTTAAAGTGGTTTATTTAATCCACACCTTGAGAAGAGATCCTGAGAATCAGGTTTGATAAGCCACGCCCCTCTATTCCTTATGGTGTGACAGGCTACAGGTGTTCCACAGCCAGTCCCATGCCATGTGCTGGCAGTGCTGATGTCACACATGGGCGGCTGTGAGATCTGCTTGCTTTACCCTCGCTGAGCACCACCTGGGGGGGCACTATTTTTGGAGATTTCAGTTATTAGAGGCTGTAGTTTTGGTGTCTCTCTTTTCTGCAAGTTCTGAGTGATCAGAGGAACGTTACCATCATCCAAGTGAAGCCGTGGGGTTAAAAGAAGGGTTCCCAGCCCTCTCCCTGATAAAGAGCCTTCCTAAGTCAGTTGCTGTAAGGAAAGGGGCCAAGTCCTGGCATGAGGGGGAGATGGGTAATGAACTGGGGCTGCATATATAGAGACACCCTGGCCATTTCAGGGGTTGAATCCGGGCCTTTCGGGGTGAGCGGAAGAAATCACACTAGTATTTGTACAAAACAGCAGGCTCTTGCCTCACCCCAGCGCTGCCCCGCCCTCAGAAGAGTTTACATCATTAAAGGGATGTTCAGCTGCCTTACTGCCCAGGGCACCAGCACTGGAGTGGAGCTACTAGGGCTGCAGCCCAGACAGCAGGTCCGAACCGCTCGAGGACACGGCCTGGGTGGGGCTGCAGCCTAGACGGAAACATGGTCACTGCTCTGGCCTCGTGGCCACACTCCTTTGTAGCACAAGCTACAGAGAAAGGGCCTCATCCCCAGGAGAGATGGGACAGGATCATGTAGCCAGCAAGGGAGCTGATGCTTGGTTCTTGCGCTCAGCTTCCTGGAGGGTCCCTGGGAGCAGCTGCAGGCTCTTGAGGTATCACAGGGCATTCTGCCCATTCCAGCCCAGCCACACGGCCCAAATCTCATCCCGCTCCCTGAGCTCTGTCTCTCAGGGGGCCCCACATCCACCCAGCTTCGGGGCTCAGGAAACCTCCATGTCTGGGAGGAGCCCAGAGCACTTAATGGTTGAGGGAACCAGTGTCAACTACAGCAACTGCAAGTTCCTGTCTGGCTGGGCTGGCTTCTTGGGTAACAAGAGAGGCAGCTATGTGGTGGGGGGGGCTAGGCACAGGCTGCCCTGGCTGCCAGAGCCCGAGCTCACTGGCCTTTGGGGCTCAGAGCAGGTGTTCACCGTGATCTTTGCCTGAAGGGAGCTGGCTAGAAAGGCAGTTGGTTTTGTTTGAGATAAGAGCTGGGAGTTCAGGGGCAGCTGCACGTTTCTGGCTCTCACTGCTCCGATGGAGACGTTAATTTGCCCTCTTTGGCTGGAAGTGCACCCAGGGCTGTGCATGTGGAGCATGCTCTACCAGAGAGAACAAAGAGCGGAGGAAGAGGGCTGTCCCAGAGAGCCCTCAGAGTCAGGGCGGTGGAAATGGATGGGCAGGCAGGCAGGCTGTTGGGGGCGGCAGGCATGGGCACCAGAGGAGGAGGGCCCCACGCAGTGTGAGCAGAGAAGAGGCCAGTGCTGGATGGATTGAGGGAGTGGGAAGGGGAGCAGAGAAAGGCTTAGCAAATTTACAAAGGGTTTTAAACAATGGACGTGCCGTGGCAAGGCGAGCAGAGATGAAGGCCTGGCAGAGAATTTTAGTCCAGGTGGTGCTGGTGCATGCCCTGTAGCGCACCTTGTAGTGTGACAGCACGCCCTGCAGTGTGTGACAGTGCCCCATGTAGCACGCCCTGTAGTGTGACAGCAGTCCACCCTGTAGTTCATGACAGTGCGCCCTGTAGTGTGTGACAGTGTTTCCTGTACCGCGCCCTGAAGTATGTGACAGCACTCCCTACAGTGCGTCCTGCAGTGTGTGACAACATGCCCTGTAATGTGACAGCACGCCTTGCAGTGCGCCCTGCAGTGTGTGACAGCATGCCCTGCAATGTGCCCTGCAGTGTGTGACAGCA